AATAAAAATGTTTTAATTGGACTATGGATAGGTAAATATTACGTATAACAATGAATATGCATGAGAATATACTTACATTAGGGTGTCTCACAAAAAACGTTTCGGGTTCTCCACCGGAGTTATACAATTTATTGCGCTTATTTTAAGACATCCGAAAAAACATTTCGGAAAAATATGTATTAAGATTTAGGTGAACTGATCTTGTTCGAAAATACCAACCAAAAACTCATTATTTCGATTCTTTCGATAACATTTTTTTGCAGAACTTTTAAGTCTAAACACTTCTAACATCTGAGGTATTTAAAAAAAAAATACTAATAAGCTAGTTTTGTTTATACAAAAAAAACCTCAGTCTAGTTCACGTAATTCTTAATATTTTTCTAAAATATTTTGTCAGAAGGCTTAAAAGATAATAAGTTTTATAATTCCGATGGAAAACCCTTTTCAATTTTTTTTTAAGCCTTTGAGACTAAGGTTGCAAACAGAGTGGAAGCGAAGCCGAGAACGAAGATGAAGACGAAGCCGAAGACGAAAGACAGTGCAGTAGTAAACACGTGAAAGTGATCACAGTGCAAACGAAGACGAAGACGAAGCAGAAGGCGTTGCGCAAGCAGTCAGCTTGAAACTGTGCGGTACTGTTTTCAAATACGAATCGCTTGCTGTGATGAGTTGTTTACAATTTATTTAACTGTTTGCAGAGGGCTTTTAGTAGAAAAGATGTACGACTGATGGGTGATGTAGCGGACATTCACTAACCTCCATTGTGGCATAAGGAACCCATTCGTCGTGAAGGTTAAAAAATGGCAGGTACTAGTTAGTTGGACTCAGGGCAGCCAGACTTTCAAGAAATTTCATGTGATGAAGCAAATTTAGGCCAGGTCATGTCATTCGAAAGAACAGAAAAGTTGCAGCTCTGAAAGTATTCAACGCGGTTCGCGATGCTTGTAAGAGAGGAAGACGAAGGCCTCCTCTGCGTTGGAAAGACCAGGTTGAGGTGGTTTCGCTTGGTATTTCCAATTGGCGTCACCTGGCACAGTAGAGAAACGACTAGCGTGTTGTGTTGGACTCGCTCAAAATCGCTTAGGCGGTTATAGCGCCAATAAAGAAGAAGAAATTAGGCTACTCTGCGGGTAACTAACGGCCCACAACTAACACCGCTTGTAGACCCTTAAAAATGGGGAATTCAACTACCAATGCTCTATTAGAATTTATTAGGAAAGCCGATGATGTCTTGGGCTTATTTGGTTAGGGACACTTTTTAGAGATACAAAAGACCTTTCAGGTCACACTGTCTCTTGTTATGACATACCTGTGCCTTTATAATTTAGAGTTATACGTTTAGGATTTCTACTCGTATCAACCAGATACATATATAGCGCCTTTCATTGTATTCATTGTACACTACTTTATTTTTATCATCCTCCAATTTGACTAAGTGCTTTCTCTAACAGTTATCACTTAAGCTAAGAAACATAAATTGCCTTATAGTACTTAGTACTAACTATAGTACATTAGTCGCAGTGATTGATCATGCACTTGACTAACGGATTCATCGGTGCCTCCGCATCACACTCGAAGGCTGCTTCAAACTGTGGCATGTTCATGAAGCTCCGATTTATCAGCAGCCCATACCAGGCGTCATTTCGTCCACAATATTGCTGAGCCACGGCATAGAATAGAATTCGCTTCGACGTCAGATGAAAATGTTCCAATACATGATCCTCCGCGAATGCAAATGACTCGCCCTCTAGCCAGAAGTTGTAATCACGGGAAGTTTCAACAAAGGCGCGATAAAATCGAAAAACTTCAGCAACTTGTGTGTCGTCCAGCAACTGAAAGACGGGCGCATCACCGAAATTCAACAGCGATTGACGCTCCAGGCAATCCAAAGCC